TATTTCATCCCGTTCTCATACCCCAGCTCCTAGTCCTCATATCTCAGCTCCTTGTCCTCATATCCCAGCTCCTAGTCCTCATATCTCAACTCCTAGTCCTCATATCCCAGCTCCTAGTCCTCATATCTCAGCTCTTTGTCCTTATATCCCATACACACAGAAAAGCACACACACTAATAATTATACATTAATGAGAAAGCCCACACTGGATTTGTCCCATGTACCATCCTAGTGCTATAATATAAGCTTTGCTTACCTAACATGTAATCCTGAGAGATCTTTTGACTGCTGCACTTTTATATATTACAATTTTTATTTTTATTTGTTAATTTACAAAGCTCTTATTTACTCCATTTTAAAATAGTAAAATCATAATTTGTTTATACTTACTAAAAGACAGAGATAGATGTTATGTCGTTCATAATTAAATATCGATAAACATGTGTAATTGTGAATTCACCTGTGTTTACAGCGGTTGAGCTTCGGCTCCTGGGTCTCGCCTCTTAACTTTCGGTGGATTTGTGTGCCTGTTCTTTAAGCCTTTGCGTTTTATATATCTGCTTTTGAACCTGTTTATGGAGCCTAACTCTTCATTAATATTGTGTTCCACTTGTTTACTGCTCCCTAGCACTGAAGAAGTTCCTTCTTGTGGTCCGTTTGGGTGCTCAATTGCAATAAGTGTCATACTTCCATCTTAGTGTATCTGTCAGTCTTGTCTAGTGCTATACAGCCGTATTGGTTTACCACTGTCTTCATAATTACATGATGTCTACCTTATTGATTCCTCTGAATATTTCGTATGTTGTGATTATGTCTCTTCTTCTGTCTTTCATTGACGTAAGGGGTCAATTGTTTTATATTCTCCTCTCACATCTGGGAGTAGTCTGGTGGCATGACTGTGAACATTCCTCAGCTATGTTATGAACTTAAGGAGATTGGTGGCTTCGTGCAAACGTTGCATATAGTGAAATTAGTCTAACGTATGTGCACAGCTTTCTGAATTATTGTTCATTCATATTTGTAATAGAAACCAAAAGACGTTACTTGGTTTCGATGGCTACTACCAGGTCTCTTTTTTTCATAGTCGTCATGACTCCTGGAATCTTGGTGGACGAGTTGGCGGTCTCAACATTATACTAATTTTTAGACATATTTTAGTTTATGAAAAGGTGTTTCTTACAGGTGATATATGCAAAATATATAACAGTTTCATTATTCCAAATATGCTCTGGAAGAGAAAATAATTATTGTACCTGGTAATTTTTTTATGAAAGTAGGAAGGGGTTTGATGTTTTATCTTTGGCCTGATGTTTGGACAGTCACCTCTGATATCCGTCAAACTAAACAATGAGAAATGACTGACAGCCAAAGTTTATTATATAGAATTTATGTCACTCTTCGAGCCAAGTAGTTTCCACACACGTACGGTTAACAGCTCCTGGTCTTCGTAGAGAGCCGTTCGTGAACATTTCTGAAGCTTGGATGACAAGAGACTTGGAACACCTGAACAAGACTAAGCACCTTTTGGCAGATCATAATTTCCTTTGATACCCAACTTTCATCTTTGATTATTGCATACGTCGAACGTCGAAGGATAGTATAGTCAGGGAGCATGCATGATGCAGAAGATATTGCAAGATAAATACAACATCAGCTTAGAGGTAAATTACTTAACATCGTCATATATATATATATATATATATATATATATATATATATATATATATATATATATATATATATATATATATATATATATATATATATATATATATATATATATATACATACATACATACATATAGAGAGAGAATGTCTGGCTGGCTGTATGAAGTTGGAAGGAAGACAGTTGGCAGTAGTCTCACCCAACTTTGCATAGCGAATGGTCTGGGGTACAGGACGGACATAGCCGGTCGGGGTCGGCTCTATTGGTAATATTAAGATGGGGTCTGGTTAAATAGTGACCCGCCCCCCCCCCACCACCCCCTTACGCCTAATCAATGAAAGGTTGAGTCCCTAAATTGATTTACATTTTCTGAGGATATCACTTCTACTTTATTCATTCTTGTGTTCATGATGATATCCTCATAATGTAACCAGAATTTCCCAGTGCAGACGACTGATCACATGACCCTGTATGACTAAACATCCTGTGTGATGGGCATTTTTGCCATCAAGTAGCTAGTTCTTGACACACTCTGTACGTCCCTTCATATACTCTACGGTAGCTGCACAAATGCAGATGTACCTATATGTGTTAATAAAAAAAAGAAATAGGGGAGGGGAGAGGGGGAGGAGAATGGGGGATGATTGTAGAGAGGGAGGGAGATAGTGGAAGACAGGTGGAGAGGGGAGTAGGGGCGAAAGGGACACTACCTACTTCAACATCCACCTGCCCTGTACTAACGTCACCCTCCCATCCGTCTCTCGCAGTCACCATCATCACAACACCTACCAATAACCACCACAACTACCACCACCCACCACCATAACACCTACCAATAACCACTACCACCACCCACCACCATCGCCACACTAACCCACATCCCATTCGCGTGAAACCATTCAGAGTTCACTGACATTTCGCGCGCATCATCCGTGATATACACTAAAAGAAAGTCGATTCTTCAGCAACATTCCAGCACCGATTTTGCTCGGACTGCCTCGCCGCCTGTGCAACGTGTCTTGTTGATCATGCAACATGCCGGCCTGGTCAGCCCCAACGACCGCCTCCTAAGGCCCCGAGCTCGAGGGCTGAGAGAGGTGCCGGTAGCTGTGATTAGCAATACGTTGTGTAGAGTTGATTCTGTGGTTGAAATGCTGTTTGCCGAGTTTTTGGAAATCATTTGTAGAGTATTTTCTTAGAAAACTGAATAAATTATTATTATAATTATTATTATCCTTAAAATTAATATTATTTCAATAATAATAAGAATTATTATTATTATTATTGTAATTGTTATTAGTACTGACGTTATTTTAAAATCATTGTGTTTAAAATCATTGGGACGGGGGGGGGGGGAGGAATGGTGCCCAACCATTTGGAAGGTTCGGGATTGAACGCCGACCTGCATGAAGCGAGACCGTCGCTCTACCACCCATCCCAAGTGGTTGGACATCTATACGGGGAGTGATAGCTTGTTCCTTATGCCCCGTCTAATACCGTTGTACCTGTTACAATTTAACTATTCTGACATCTGAATTCTTTGTCGAATCTGGTCTTAAAGTTGTGGGTGGAGGTGGCTTCCTCAACTTCTTCTTTCAGAGCATTCCACTTGTGGTTACCCTTACAGGGTAAGATAAATTCTTAACATTTCTTCGGCTCATTTACGTTTCCAGCTTCGACCTGTGTTCTCGCGTTTAACTTTCTTTCACATTAACGAGGTTGTCCTTGTCCACTTTGTCAGATTGAATGATTGATGAAGATTAAGCCACCCAAAAGGTGGCACGGGCATGAATAGCCCGTAAGTGGTGGCCCTTTTGAGCCATTACCAGTATCGAGAGCTGATACAGGAGATCTGTGGAGACACTTTGTCAAGTCCACTCAATATTTTATATGTTGCAATCATGTCCTCTCTGTTTCTTCTCTCCTCCAGGGATGTGAGGTGTACTTCCCTCAACCTATCCTCATAATTTAGTCCACTTTGCTCTGGCACTAATCTTGTTGCAAACCTTCGCACTTTTTCAATTTGGGTTTCGTGTTTCGCAAGGTTCAGTTTCCAGACCGGTATTGCATATTGCAATATTGGTCTAACAACGTTTGTGTTGATTGCCTTGAAAGAGCTCTGGTTTATAGGTTGCTAAAGGACGTTCTAATGTTGTGGCAGCGTTTCATATACTGCTGATGTTACCCTGTTGGTGTGTGCCTCTCGTGATGGTGTTGGAATTATATCCAATCCCAAGTCCCGTCATGGTACCGAGGCTTCAACACTCTCTCCCAGCACGCGTCACGAACACGCTCCTGTGGCCAGTCACACTGGAATTAAATGGCTCAGTAAACTACAGACTCATTCGCTATATACTGGTGTGATAGATATTAATTACCTTTAACAACGAGTACAAAACGTGACTACAATATTATTACAACAACAACAACAACTACTACTACTACTACTACTACTAATAATAATAATAATAATAATAATAATAATAATAATAATAATAATAATAAAAGTAATAATAATATGGCAAGAAAAATTAATCATTGGGAGAAAGATGACAGTCGGGCTTGCTCTCGACTCACAATCGGGAAGTCCGGGTTCAAATCCCGAGCTGGGCAGAAATGGTTGGGCACGCTTCCAGTCACCTAATGGGGGCCTTGTTCACCAAGCAGTAAAAAGGTACCCGGGAGTTAGTCAGCTTGTTGTGGGGGGGTTGCATCCTGGGGAGGGTCTCTAGTTCGACCTTGATTGAGGGGGGTTCGAGCTCGATATAAGCCTAACATTTATATATACACTGGCTGCCTGTCCCCGAAAATTAAATTATTATTATTGTTATTATTATTATTATTATTATTATTATTATTATTATTATTATTATTATTATAACAACAGCAATAAAGGAAAATGTATAAAAATTAAATAATAAGCTCGGGTAAACTAAAGTAATTAAACTAAAAGGCATTCGCCAGTCCTGCTTCGCGATTTTCCCACGATGAGGGACTCGCCCATGACGCAGCGCTCTCTGTTGTCTGGGGAAAGTTTACGCCCGCTTTCCCCAGCTGAAAATGACACTCTTAGGGGGAGAAACACAATGGAAAGGTAAAGGTTCTTCCTGTTTTTTCTCGTGAGGTGTGGGAGGGGGGGGGGAAGTAGGGAAGGGTAGGTGTGGCTCAGGTTTTACCGGTAGTTTGTTGGATTGTTATATTATATATTCATATAGATAGGTTTAGTATATGCATTCTACATATATTAAAGAACTCATATGCATGGTCTCTCTCTCTCTCTCTCTCTCTCTCTCTCTCGCCCCACAATCTAAAAATGCCTTGTCTCCTCCCTCAGCGTGTGGTGGTGTTCCTGCTGGCGGCGACGGTGCTGCTGTCTCCGTCCGAGTGCCAACGGTCCAGGCTGGAGCAGATTGTGACCAACTTTGTGGGCAGTGTCGGCAACTTCGGCAGTAGGATCAGTAACGGCATGCTAAGGTAAGTCTTACGGAGACGGGTGAGGCTTTGAGTGAACCTTCAGGCGACGAGCCCCACAGACGCATTTGTAAATTTTTACATGCTGTTCATTCAAAACAGGACTTTTTTCAAATGTAAATTAATATTATAATACATTAGCATATTGTGCATATATAGGCATAGGTTAGGTTAGGTGTTTAGGTTCTGTTGGCGATTATCTGTATTTGTAGTACGTGGGTGAAGCATTTACAGCGTTGTGGTTCGAACAAAATTCGTCAGTGAAGCATTTTTTCCGGAAGTATTCAAACGAAATCAGTTGTGAGTCGTGTGTAAACCGTTTTTCATTCATAAACAGGGGGTTTTAGCGGGTGCATGGAATCACTTTTGGGTCTTTGTTTGGAGACGGGCAGTTTCACACGACTCACACAGCCCGTCCTCCAAACAAAGATCCAAAAGTGATTCCATGCACCCGCCAAACCCCCTGTTTATGAATGAAAAGCGGTTTACACACGACTCACAACTGCTGACGTTCGAACATATCCGGAACAAGTGCTTCACTGACGAATTTTGTTCGAATCACAACACTATAAATGCTTCACCCACGTACTACAAATACAAATAATCGCCAACAGAACCTAAACACCTGACCTAACCTATCCTATGCCTATATATACACAATATGTCAATATATTATAATATTAATTTATATTTGAGAAAATTCCTGTTTTGAATGAACAGCATGTTAAAATTTATGAATGCGTCTGTGGGGTTGACCGCTGGATGTAATGGACTTGAGTCGAGGACGGGTTGGTAAATGCTGTAACACAAATACAAATAATCGCCAACAGAACCTAAACACCTAACCTAACCTATGCTTATATATGGACAATATGCTAATATATTATATTATTAATTTATATTTGAGAACATTCCCGTTTTGAATGAACAACATGTAAAAAATTATGAATGCGTCTGTGAAGTCGACGGCTGGATGTAATGGACTTGAGTCGAGGACGGGTTGGACAAGTAAGGCTTCAGGAGAGTCTTTGGGCGATGAGTGAGGCTTCAGGAGAGTCTTTGGGCGATGAGTGAGGCTTTATTTAAGTCATCAGGGAACGAATGAGGCATCCAGCTCATCCTTATAAACAAAAAGTTAAAACATTCATTCGAATAACACTAATTGTTTCCTGGGTGTTACTCTATGTGTTTAGTACCAAGAGTCTGTGTGTTTTACATACTGTGACTCTGCGAGTCACAGTATATATATATATATATATATATATATATATATATATATATATATATATATATATATATATATATATATATATATATATATATATATATATATGCATTTTGATGGAATAGGCTACCTTTTCAAACCAAAATGAATAATCAAATTTCTCTCCTGTTGTGGTCCTCAGGGGAGAGTATAATATATAAGAGAGCTTAGTTAAAACTTCATATGGTGCTAAGATCTAGACTAGAGTCTAAGACATGAGAGATTTATCACCACTATATTATGGCTACTCTTAGTAAACCCAACCCAACCTAAGTTAACCTAACCTAACCTTACTTTACCAAAATAAGAGATACAATTTTGTGTGTTATATATAGAAGGCACAGTGTGACGTCATAGATCCCACCGCTGCCACTGTAGATTTGGGGGGGGGTAGAAATAGCCTAAGGTACGCTATCCCTTTGAGAGGTATTTCTTGCTTATCTCAATAAACTTACTTGAACTTGAACTTGACGTCATAGTTGTATTCTGGCACAGGTTCTAGATTCTACCAGGTAGATCTATTGTGTAGTGGAGCTCCTTCGCTGACGCAGCCTACATAATCAAATGACAGCTCTCGAAATGTATGTGTTATATTCAATTTATTCCTCAGTCCACACTAAGTTACTAAACTAATTACATTTAATGGCATAAAATAATTAATATAAAACACGTATCATAACAAAGTGTGAATTGTCTCTAAATATTTTCGTAACAGGCAGGTGATAAAAGATATAACTCTATAAAAAGAGGAGATAACTCTAGCAAGCACCCATGATGCCTCTCCTCGCCCTTACAGGTCAAATTAATAGTAGAACTGTTTTGCAACAAATCCACAAGGGCCGTGACTGGGGTTCGAACCTACGTCTGGAATCGTAGGGATCCTACGTCTGGGATCTGGCAGCGTCTGGAATCTTCTCGGATCCCAGACGCTGCCTTAAATCCCTTGTGAATTTGTTCACTTCATACATCACGCTATTGTGATTTCTGCGTGTAGTGTAGTACAGTTTTATTTATTCATAATTGCAAGAGGATATGATTATATGTTAGTGGTGACCAAACTACACACTAGATCATGAAGGTTCGACGGCGCTTCGGTCCCTCTTGGACCATTATCACTTCATAATGGTCCAGGACGGACCGAAACGTCGTCGTCTCCTCATCGTCTGGTGTGTGGTTTGGTCATCATATCTTCAGCCACGTTATTGTGACTCATTGTTTGCAATATATATAGTAGTAATTAATAACAGTAATTATATGTGCATTATTTATAAAGCCACAAATGACTTTTTCCTTGGTTGGTTGTCATGTATCACAACTAACAACCTAATCCTGAGCCAGGACATTTAGTCCACAATAATTGCGGGAACAGTACTTCATTCCAAACGAATCAGAAAATGTCTCAGTCACGATCTTATTTTCACAAAGGCAACTTGGTTCCATATTTTGTTTTAATTGTGATTTTCCTTTACCACTGGAAGCTGCTGTAGGTCAGTCGTTGATGTTCAGTTAATACTTATAATGTGTACAAGATCGAAAAACGTCAGACGCAAAAAGCGTTCATCGCTGCCCATTAATTATGTCCTCCTTCCAGCAGGACTTTTGGCGGCAACAACAGCCTGAGAGAGGCCCCTGCCCGCCAGCGTCAACATCTCGCCAGACAGCAGCAGTCATCCACCGCCTCCGCTCCGCTGGACGACGACTCCTTATCAGCTCCGAACGCCCCTCAACAGACACACTCACAGCATCAACAGTCACAGCTACAACATTCCCATTCACAGCAGCAACAGCCATACCAGCAACAGCAAGAGCCCCAGCAGCAGCAGCAGCAGCAGAAAGGACCTCGGCAGGTTGTTCGCCAGAACCGCAATCGTCTATCTTTCCGACAAATGGTTGGCGGAACTGTCTCGAGGATTATGAACATGATTCCCAGGTTTCGCCGAAGATCCTCCAACCGTCACCGCAATACACGCAACGTCCAGGTAAGCTCTCCTCCAGGTAGCTCCTCGTATCACCAAGAGCCAAGGAGTGATTTCAGCGTCCAGGCGATCTCTCCTTCGCACGGTAAAAATCCCCATCCCACGTCCGTCCACGTTACTGTGAATCTTTTCGGAAAAGATGATAATCAGTCTGTGGATACCTCAAACCCCGAACATTCCCTCACCGTCACGCACTATTACAACCACTCTCTCGACGTTACGCACCATCCACACTATGAGACAGACTATGGCGGCTCGTTTACGGTGACAGAGGCAACGGACGACTTGGTGAATGTGACAGAGGCGGCAAGGCCGCCGGGGGCAGTGACGGATACGCCGGAGGGCTTCCAGACCTATAACTCGTACACAGACCTCACCGATTTCTTCAGCAACTTCGATGCATCATCATGGTGGCCTCGGAAGGGCTCACAGGTCCAGCAGGAACTTTTAGATAGTTTCCATAACCACGATAATAGCTACGTTATGGACTATAGTTACGCTATGCTTCCCTCTTCCTCGCAGCACAGTCCAGAGAGTTTTAGTGGCGGTGAGGAATCTAAACAGGTGGTGCGCAAAACCAGTTACAGTGCCTCAGGCTACAAGGATGGTTATCTACATGGCTATGACCAGGGCTACGATGACGGCAGGAATAGGGGTAGTCTAAATAGGAATCAGTGGAATTCGAACGTTAACACAAGGGGTCAGGATAGCGGCAGGTGGAATCCTGCCACTATTGACTACTGGGGGCAGGCCAGTAGTTCTGACATTAACAATAGGGCCAGTAGTTATGGTACTAACAACTGGGGGCAGGGCAGTAGTTTTGGCACTAACAACAGAGGACAGATCAGTCTCTCTAGAAACAACTGGAAACAAGGTAGTAGTGCAGACACTAACAATAGGGAACAAGTCAGTAGTTCTACAACTCACCTCAACGGGGTACAAGCCGGTAGCTCTGCCACTCATAATAAGAGGAACGAGGCCAGTAGCCAGAGGGATCAGGTGAGTTGGTACACTAATCAATTGTTGGGGGAGGCTGCCAGGTGTGGCGGCCGCTGCTTATGGCAGGAACTAATGAGATTTCTTGATCATTACAGCACGAGTGAGAGCACTGAGGTCAGCAGGGTGACGGGTACCTCGGCTTCAGCAGGGTCGGTGGGGCATGTGGTGCAACAGATGGGCAGCGGAACGAGCCCCAACACCCGACACAGTGCCTTCCCTGCCAACCTCTCTCCCCATCATAACCCTGTATATACACATGCAAAGCGACCCGGTATGATCCACGTCCATAGTGCCTCCCGTGGGCGGCCTCCCCATTACTCTCACAACATCCGTCCACTCCATAGGGAAGCCAAGCGGCCACCTTCAGCTTCCTGGGGTCAAAGGGACACACCAGAGGTATTGTCCCCAGGCCCACCTTATTCATCCTCCCCTGCCAGGTACCGTCGCGACTACGATCTGATCTTAGATAGTGGTCGGGTGCTTAGCGGGGCGACGGGGCAAATCCTAGGGCCACGGGGCCACTCAGACGATCATGGCAGAAGATCGAGACGCAGCTGAGATGGTCTGGGTGTCAGGTCATAAACAATCCTCCGCGCGACACTGCCCGAGGTAGTCACACATTCATAGTCGCATCACCCGCCACGCCCCGGATCCGGAGAATAAGTCCCACACCCTCCAAGTCGAGGATCTTCACTAATTTCGCGACGCTGGTATGGTCAACACAAACCTTCACGCTTACCCCATCCTCCCTTCACACTTTAGCGTAAAATTTCTCCTCCAGTCCACACATCTCGCCTCCAAATGTGGGTCTGTTAGTACAATTGTTTCTGCTTATAAAAACAACTCGAGATTTTATGATTTGCTTCTTCCCCTTCGACCATAATATAGGTATGCTTCTACTTTTGGATATCTTTTCTACGTTGATACATCCACAATGCTTCTATTTTAGGCCAAGATACCTAGTAATTGAGCTCTTAAATCACCCAAAAATGTAAATATTACAACCAATCATTTTTGAGTCTCTAAATGTTCAGGATTTTCATCTTCAATCATTCGTGTGTTGTGAATGTGTGGTACACCCTTTTCCCTTCACCCTCACACCAACACCTACACCACATTTCAACACCCCGTCCACACCTTCACCCATACGTCCACCACAACCCAAACACACCTTCACCAACACCTCAGCCCTACCACCGCACCTTCGTTTACATCTTACAGCCCTACCACAGCCCCTTCCACGTCCTCTTCCACATCCTCTTCCATGTTGTTGTTGAGATTTAGCTACTCAGAATGAAATGTCCATGTAGTACGGGCTATGGTGAGCCCGTAACCCTTTTCCACATTCTCTCGAAACATATACCACTTAGGGCTACTCATGCCTTTGCCACCTCTTGGGTGACTTAATTTTTATCAGTCAGTCAATCAATTCTCTTCCACGCTTCGCAAGACCAACACCCCCGTCATACCTCACCCATACAACACCATACCCTCACCTTAACAACCCCACCACATCCTCATTAACAATGCTCCATTACCTACACCCCAATACACCCACCACACCCCCCCCACACCCTCACAAAAAGCGTCCGAATTCATCCACAAGCACGAGACATCTCCCGTCACGCAGAGTGCACTTGCACCTCCACAGATCTCCAGTATCAGCTCTTGATACTGGTGATGGCTCGAAAGGGCCACCACTTACGAGCTATTCATGCCCGTGCCACCTTTTGGGTGGCTTCATCTTCATCTTCTTCATCTGTTTAAAACACGGGAGACATCTCCCGTCACGCAGGGTGCAGTTGCACCTCCACAGATCTCCAGTATCATCTACTGATACTGGTAATGGCTCGAAAGGGCCACCACTTACGGGCTATTCATGCCCGTGCCACCTTTTGGGTGGCTTAATCTTCATCAATCAATCATCCACAAGCATGACTTCCGCTTCAGCCGCTGTACATAGCAGATCAACCCCTGTGTAAATAGGCATGTTCTGACGCACTTCTGATTTATAGGGTTATGGTAGCCAGTACGCTGCAGGCACACCAAGTAGTTCCAGTCTACGCCTAAGGTTTGCGTGACACATTGGTCAAGTGGCAAATAATTGGCCTTCATGTGATACTCAATCCCAGTCCCTGTGTTGAACAGTTCCTCTGGTGTATGTTCAACAGAAGTCCATGTGCTCGATGATTATCTTATGGGGGAAAACATTGAAGTTATTAATTTTTTTAGAACTCAACAAATGATGTCAATATATTCCTGGTTACATATATTTAATAAGTTGTGATAAGCAGTGCTGACATCTACGTGAAAAAAGGCTACACAGAAAGTAGACAGTTATAATAGAATAAATAGTAGATTCTCTGATATAAAAGTCTACTTTTATCTTGGTCTTTTTCTGTATAGAAGCTTTATTGTGAGGTTGAAGTTCATATCAAATTTTTGTAGCTGGAGGCTGTATTGTACCTTTGCATGAGTGTAGACTTATTGTGTCTCCCAGTAATGGAAGACAGCTGCCTGTCGCGCGAGGCTCCCAAGGCTCACTCTTCTTGCATGCCAAGAGAGCCTTGCGGAGCCCCGCTCCTCACCTGTACATACATCACTTGTTTAATGGGCGAGCGTATGTTCCAGGCTGGACCTGGTTCCATGTATTTATTGTGTACAAATATATCCTCTTCTTTACCTTGTGTGTTTTATCAAGTCCTGTGTGTGTGTGTGCTCACCTAGTTGTGCCTGCGGGGGTTCAGCTTTGGTTCTTTGATCCCGCCACTCAACTGGTGTACAGGTTTCTGAGCCTACTGGACTCTATCATATCGACATTTGAAACTGTATGTGTGTGTGTGTGTGACTATAAGGAGCTTTAAGTTGTTTATCTTGTGCGTGAGCTACGAGTACTGTACTAATGCAAACAGAAGCTAGCAGATAAATTGTTTGTCACAATGAAATGTGTGAAGCAAAACATGTGTATGGGGCCAGTAACACAATCAGTAGCCTGACAGACCGCTCGAATAAATTCCGTTAAAAGTATCTGGACGTTCAGCTTGCATCAGAGACCCAGAAACACTTCAGGATGTTACACGACCGAAAATCACATTCACTCCAAAACTCTACCACCTACGGGCTATTCATGCCCGTGCCCAACCCGTTCTCGCAAATTTAATAAGTCAATATTGACTTATTAAATATGTGCATAGGTGACATACTTAACATAATAGTTTCCCTTGAAAAACTTCATAGAAAACACCGACCTTACCTAACCTACTTAGTATGTTAAGATAAGCATCTTATTGCTTCGTAATTACAATTATTACCTAACCTATACCTATAATAGGTTAAGTAACAATTGTAATTACGAAGCTATAAGATGCTTATTTTAACATACTAAGTAGGTTAGGTAAGGTCGGTGTTTTCTATGAAGCTTTTCAAGGGAAACTATTATGTTTAGTATGTCACCTATGCATGCAACTAATAAGTCAATATTGACTTATTAAATTTGCGAGAACGGGTTGCCGTGCCGCCTCTGGTGGCGGTGGCTTAATCTTCAACAACAACAAGAGCATGTATGGGGAGTTAGAAGAAGTAAAGTGTAGGTATGTGTAAACTAATACAGACAAACTAAAGTACTACATTATATACTGTAAGAAAATTTAGCCATTTAGAGATAATCTAAAGTCAATTTGTAAATGACAAATTATCATATTACAAATTATAAAATATCAGAAATTCTTGCATCGTATCCATATTATGCTGCTAGTAGATAAATATGTAAATATTTTTGTCATAGATAGCGGGAAATCATCTTGATAAACTGTCAGCTTCACAAAGGGCCTTGGTGAAACAATCGAGATATTAACTTAAACATTTTACGTTGTCTAAAATCACATTCCCGATATTCTGTTCAAAATGCTATATAGTTAATACGTCCATGTGAGCACCGCTAAGAAGCTATCGATCGTCTAACAAACAACTAAGCCCAACTAAAATATCATTGCTCATCTTACATGATTGATAAAGATTAAGCTAGCCAAGAGGTGGCACGGGAATGAATAGCTACTAATCATCTTACATGTAACTATATGCTTTATAAAGGATAGATAACCCATAATAATGAGTTTTCCTTGGGATCTGCACTCCCCTGCGGCCCGGTCTCTGGTTGCTGGGAAGGGAACCACAGGGCAGAGAGGGAGAGGAGCGCACTTCCTCAAAAAAATCGATGTAGGGAAGGCGGCGAGTCAGGTGGCCTGACTCTGGATATAAACGATCGCCCAGCGGACGTCACCTCAGTTGTTTATGTGTGTGTATGTGAGAGAGTGTGTCCCGCAGTAGACGAGGCTACGAGTGCTCTGTCGACATGCTCGGCTGTAATTTGCATTCGTACGTAAACTAGTGTTTTTTGAGGGATTGGCGAGTGTGATATAAGAGTGTTAAGAGGTTTTGCATCTTCTTAAAAGATGGTATTGTGTTATAGCTTTCGCAGAACCATATAACCTGACGTGGTTTCATCAGTTTCATTCTGAGTTTTGGCTCATTGTAAATGAGCAAGTGACCATGAGGTGTCAACATAGTGAGTCAGTTACCACATATATTGATCAAGTGAGCACATATTGAGACCACATTTACCGCATAATGGATCCCGTCACTTCTCGATCAGCAAAAAAGGTAAGGCATCATTATGTTTCTGTATTCATTCCTAGAACTGGTCAATAGGCACAGCACCTTCACCTCCGTGTCTGTAGTGCTGGTGACTGTGTATCAACAACGCCTGGTGCTGATGACTATGTATCAACAACGCCTGGTGCTGATGACTGTATCAACAACGCCTGGTGCTGATGACTATGTATCAACAACGCTTGGTGCTGAAGACTATGTATCAACAACGCCTGGTGCTGATGACTGTATCAACAACACCTGGTGCTGATGACTATGTATCAACAACGCTTGGTGCTGAAGACTATGTATCAACAACGCCTGGTGCTGAAGACTATGTATCAACAACGCCTGGTGCTGATGACTATGTATCAACAACACCTGGTGCTGATGACTATGTATCAACAACACCTGGTGCTGATGACTATGTATCAACAACACCTGGTGCTGATGACTATGTATCAACAACACCTGGTGCTGATGACTATGTATCAACAACACCTGGTGCTGATGACTATGTATCAACAACACCTGGTGCTGATGACTATGTATCAACAACACCTGGTGCTGATGACTATGTATCAACAACACCTGGTGCTGATGACTATGTATCAACAACACTTGGTGCTGATGACTATGTATCAACAACACCTGGTGCTGATGACTATGTATCAACAACACCTGGTGCTGATGACTATGTATCAACAACACCTGGTGCTAATGACTATGTATCAACAACACCTGGTGCTGATGACTATGTATCAACAACGCCTGGTGCTGATGACTATGTATCAACAACGCCTGGTGCTGAAGACTATGTATCAACAACGCCTGGTGCTGAAGACTATGTATCAACAACGTCTGGTGCTGAAGACTATGTATCAACAACGCCTGGTGCTGATGACTATGTATCAACAACGCCTGGTGCTGATGACTATGTATGTATCAACTTCCAGGAGACCGTGAAATCCAAGCATAGTGTTGAAATTATTTTTTTTTTTAACAAATAGCGTTAGGGTTGCATAAACGGAGGCAAGTCAGAGAGGGAAACTGTTGCCAGTAGAGTACCGCAGGGAGTCTGTTCTGCCTCATATAATACACGTGGAGTCGCTGGATTGTTTTAGGCCAAGGCTAGACATATCGCGTCTATGAGGGGGGCCTGATGGCTGGGTGGACAGCGCTCGGTGTTCGTAGTCATAATGGTCCGGGTTAATTCCCCGGCGGAAACAAATGGATATAGTTTCTTTCACCTTTATTGCTGTTACCTAGCAGTAAAAAGGTACTTTGAAGTTAGACAGCTGCTACGGGCTGCTTCCAGGGGATGTGTGAGAGGTGAAAATTAGGATTAAGGACCTGCGCGAAACGTTATGCGTGCTAGTGGCTGTACAAGAACGTAAGAACTCTTGTATAAATAAATGAATGAATGAGTTTGGGTAGGTATAACTCGGAGCTGTCTCACGGGGACCAGTAGAACTTAAGCAGTTTCCTACATATTGTTTATATTGTTAAGACGGACATTGATCAATGTTACCAAGTCCATACCAGCAGAGTTGGTAGAGGCACCAACAAAAACACAGGCTGTGATGATTGATGAAGATTAAGCCTTCCTGAAGGGGGCATGGGCATGAGTAACCCATAAATGGTAGATGGTTGAAGTGAATATGATATGTGGTCGTGACAGAATATGGAGAGATTGATTGATCGATAAAGATTAAGCCACCCAAGAGGTGGCACGCATGAATAGCCAGTAAAATATGGAGAGAGTCTTTGCAACATTTTGAATGGAGTGGGGCGATTATTGTAATTAATTTGTCGGTTTCCGGGAATTGCCTTGACACTCGCTACCTGCTTGACTTTTTTTTATACTACTTTGTCATTAATCCGCGTGGATCTTAATGACCCACAAGCCTTGGGATAGTTGGTACCAAAATGTGAACCGTGAATGCTGGTGAATGCAATGGTTCCACTCCCGCCCACTCATTGGGTGGGGAGAACATGATAGGTAAAGTGAAGTATATGAAAATAGTTCACTGTAAATTGCATAAAGACTGTCCTGGTCCAGTTCTTGAACCCAATATTGAGATTTACATTAAACTGTACAACTAACTTATCAAGATTTTAATTTACTTAACAAAATGAAATTTGGGGTTCGGTTCTTGAACCCATTATGTGCCTCTGAAACCTTTTTCACTGCCGTCCACAGGATGATATAGGATGCACAATAAATGAATTGTGATAAACGAACTAAATAATAAATAATAGAGGTAACACAAGGTGGATTAAGTGAGAGGATGATCAACCGAGTGGATTTTCTTAGCGGTGAGGTGTTATGGAAACCCATACTCCAGTTTCCGTAGTACTCATAGTAACGATGTGGACCATCATATGTATATTGATATAATGGACAATTAGGAAGAATTTGATACTACTGCATTTGGACAAACCGGAAGGGGTTTTGTTTTATGTTGCTAATAAACCCAAATTAACCATCCTAGGCCCTAATACGTGCTATCTGTAGCTTATTATAGTACATATATGTACTAGACTAGGTCTAGGAATATTTTTAAGTTTGGTTTTAAACTTTAGATTTTTCGGACTATAAAGTGAATAGAACTGAATTCTAATATCTAATCCATTACGTACGATGGTGCATATAGTTACAAAAAATACTATCAAAAGTACTTTTGCTACTATCCGGAGCAAAAAAAAAAATAAATCTTATCTGTTTGGAAACAATATACTATCAAAAGTACTTTTGCTACTATCCGGAGCAAAAAATAAATAAATAAAAAAATAAATCTTATCTGTTTGGAAACAATGAAAACATTGGCATCAGGGAACCGACTCGATCTTATCTGTAATTTAAACTCTCAATGATCGTTGGAGAAACTCAACTGTTCAATAGTCAGTTTGCCATCATTTGCCTTTTACAACATGTGGAAAGTATAAGTATTTTTTTAATGAAAGATATTAAATAATGATAAGGATAAGAAGTAAGGAACATTGGAGTAGGCCTACTGGCCTATTAGAAAGGAATTCAAACAGGAACAGAGTATTCGATCCAAACTTGGCTGCTTGTTTATGGAGCGCTTATGGCGGTATAGACCATGTAAGGCGTCGGTATGGTGAGAAGTACTCGCTAAATGTATTTTTATATGCAGTATTACGGGGAATTCTATAATTTCCTAAGCTGTTTATTATGTGATTAAAGTAAATATATTTTCCTTCGACTGTTTGAAAACGTTTGTCTTGTAAAGCCGTTGGTTTGAGAGATTTTAGTGAATGCAAACATGAAGTTTTGAGGCGAGTAGCAGCCCAGGTTCAGTCTCGCATACTGGGTTCAGATACTAAACCTTAATGATCTTCAAGCTGGGCAATTTACAATTCTGGTGAGCTAGTTACATTTATATGTTATTTTGCTTATCGTGCATCCCGCACTCACTCAGTGGGTGGAGATGGGGAGGTTGCAGCCACCTGCATGCACTGCCTGCAACAGGAAACTCTGGACACATAGATAAGATTCCTGGTGGTACATAATTTTTGAATGAAAACTTACACATTTCTTTAACATTTGTGATGAGTAATTCGTAAATTGTTATTTTTTTTTTAACAAATGTAACCTGTGTCCACAAAATTAGTTGCACGTTCTGCAATACAATCAGGGTGTGTGAATAGTTTTGCTGACACAGTTTACATTTGATGTCTACGTTGGCAAGTTGCGTAAACTCCTATAGACACAAAACTTTTGATATTTGACTTCTCTAACATAGCTGGCGTAGATTTCACTCGGGTAAATACAACAGACAAAAATACAATTTAATATTATATACTACTACTGCACCCATTCTATTTAATTGGCATTTGGTAACCTTGAAAAGGGCAAACCCAGTTCATTTCACTCCTGAGCTAAACATTAAGTACTGAACGAACGTTAAGAGAATCTACCTGTTCGAGCGAGGGAGTTGTTAGAATGATACAGCGAGGTTTGAAACGAGACTAAGCGCACGTACACCTTTGGACGGCTGCTATCTTCGGATAGCCAACCCCTACCACCACCACAACCCCCCCCCCCCCCCCCCCCCGCCCCGACCCGCGGGAGACCCCCTCTAAGCCCACTTGGGAAGACACTGGCAATTAAGCTAACCCTTATCTTTCGGGAAACATTTGCAGATAATGAATTCTGCAAAAAGATGTGCTTGTCTCTCTCTCTTTCTCCCCCTTTTTTTCTCTCCTCTCTTTCTCTACTTTAGTCCTCTCTCTCTTTCTCTCTCTCTGGTTTAGGAATAGGGACGATCATTATTTTATTCCATGTCTTGGTAATCCGGCATCTCACGTGTTAATTATATAGTTCCAATTAAGTGTTTATGTGAGTTACATTCAGGCCTGTTAGAGCAGTATAATATTATCATGAGCCGCCCTAGCCTCCTCCCTCCCCGCCGACGGCAGATTTCCTCACTGTTATTGTCATAAATAATTCCTGGGCACGTAATCCCTGTGCACACGCACGCACACGTCTGCGAGCGCGACATTTCCACCGTCGGCTTCCACAAGTTTCAAATTCCATCTGATATCTTTCCGGGAATCCAACGACTCTCGTATGGATGGACACACAGTTGATTTAGGGTGATTCTGATCATTTATTAACGAGCGCCCGTTAGTGCTCACGGCTCTCTATCGATTTGCCAGGAAGTGGAGGATCGATATCTCGGAAATGTAGGTGAGACGTTTTGGGTGCGTTTTCTTACACCCGGTGCATCTGTTCACCTAGCAGTAAATTTGTAACTGGGAACCATTTATCTTCGTTAAGTTGCATTTCGGGAAAGATCTTTTTTTTTCTTTTTAGACCTCGATAAGCCTACAAGTATAATAGTACAGTTAGCTTCGTTCTCCACCCACAATTGGGTATCCTGGGTTCGATTCCCTTAGAGAAATAGTTAGGCAGGTATAATGGTAGTAGTGAGGATATATACACTGAGAGGTTTACTTTAGTCCTGGACAATGTTTAGGACTAA